ACAATAATGTCAATCTCACTTTTATAAATATCCAACAATGTTCCACAGATGCAGCTTGTGATAGAGACCAATCCAGTTGGCTCGCGGCTCGAGCAAGACCATCGAAGTCCGTTTTCCAGTAGTTGGGAGCTGGTTGCAGCAGATGTGAATACGGTAAAGCTAATTCCATATCAGCTATCAGTACTGAGTGGTCGCTCTTAGCCAGGGGCTCCAGGATCCTAACGTTACGCACTCGTTGTTCGTAGCTTGGTAACATCAGGTCGAGACAGGACGTGGTTTTAATGCCAAGTAAAACACTGGTAGTTTTAGACCATTATGGTTGGCTATACGATGTAATATTTGTGGTTGCATAATGAAAAATTAGGCTTTAGATCTTCATTTGTACATCTATGAATGTGATGCAAAACACGTATAACGGTGACGCAAAACTGTCTGCATTTGTCCACAGGTCCATAGAAAAGCGCCACGGTTTTAATTATACTGTATGTTCTGACGTTTGCAGTAGCTTACAAAACAAGTTTAATAAGGAGCTAGAGAAGCAGCAATTCCAATTTATCGGTAATAAAACGTATTAATGTAACATTTAGGGTAAAAGCACTTGAATACATTTAACTTGCTCATCCTGGTTCAATATAGGTTTCCTAATTTCTATTCTTATCGTACAAACTTGCTGCTAGCTTGTAAAAACTAGACCGAAGCCGTTGAACGCTAACACGCTATCAAACTGCTGTTAGTTAAATTCGCTGAGGTGTTCGGTACTGTCACTATTTTCCCCCTCACCGATGTCAAGGTCTTATAAAATATCGACTCACGACCTTCAATACTATTAGCTTTTAGTGATATAGAAAACAGTGTAGGCATGGAAAATAGTCTTATATTTTGACCAATGGTTCATTGCGGCATTTCACAGATTGTTGTGCTGGAGACTCTGCTGTTCGCAGCCCACCTCAATAGTTATTCTGAGGATCTTAATTTGCCATCAATTTTAACCACAGATTAAATAAAGTTTTGGAAAAATGTGAAAGTTCTAATTGTTCCTAAGTCCTGTTAACGTGCTCTGCAGGGACACAGGAAATAAGCTAGCTTGACCATTTTATAAAGCAAACAATATTTTAGTGCTACGTACCATAGTAGCAGATTCATCAGCATCAGCAATACACGTTAGCTAAAGATAAGATAAACACTTCTGCTAGTCTGCCGCAATAAAGAGATAAGAGACTAAAAACTTACACTACAATAACGCTTCCGAGCAGTTAATGTGTTGATAAATATTATATTATACGTTTCGTGTGAGTTCAGGATTAATGGCAAAATCTAAACGGAAGGGCAATGAACAAATGAACGCACAACACAAAGGCCATTAAGGCTAACTCTTTGCTACTCAGCAACTGTGTTTAGCCAAATGTCTAAATCGTCCTTAGTACCCCAGTTTAGAGTCGGGAAGCACCAGCCGACGCCAGTTTTGGTGCGCAGGTTTACACTTCTCTCGACAAAACCATCATTTGTCCTCCCCTACTCCTTTTGCAACCGCACACAAGACATCAAACCGGTGCCCTTCAAAAGAATCGGTTTGCTGGCATGCGCAACACGTGGCCTAGTCATCGGAGTCTGGTGCATAATATAATAATGCTGCGAGGTTTACTCGCCTTTCTTGCACCAAATACGCGACGCAGAACAAGCTTATTGCTCAGGTGGCGCTCTCACCAGGCATGTGCTAAGCTGCGAAGGCCGTGTTGATCAAATGTAACAAGCCACTTTATACCGGTCTACCTGATGGGCCCGGTTTTGTAAACAAATAGGACGGCTAAGCAAACGGTTGCATTATAAACCCTGCTCTTTAGGGCAAGAGTAATGGCGGATCTCTACCACATGTGACGGGGATTGTCAAAAGCACCTTAAGTATTTTCTATACGGTATGTAACTTATCTTTGATCATACAGACGCCAGTATGGCTACCAAGGTACCCGAATGTCTGTACTGCTTCAAGCTGATCACCACCAAGGGTCAGTGCAGAAAAGCGTCTCTTCCAATATTGTGAAGCAATTTGCATTTTAATGAAGCAAAGCATAGTCCAAAATAATTGAGAGCTAATGCTAATCGGTCCAGTGCTGCACGTTTGGGAGCTGTTGTGGAATAAAGCAAAATTGTCCGCATACCCAAAAGCAAGAAGTCGCTTACAAAAATTTAGCTCCACGCCATCTAGATTATGTTCATCAAATAATGTTTCCATTACTACGTCTATTGTACTGCTAAAAAGAAGTGGTGACAGCAAGTATCCTTGTCTCACACTGTTGGTGATACTGAAGGGTGGTGCCAGTTTGCCACAAAACCCTCACTTTGTCAGAAATATGCGCGTACAGTGCTTTGATAACTTTTACATATTTATCAAACATACAACAGTAAACGGTTTTAAAAGGCACGTCTTTGGACTGAATCAAAGGCACCCTTAGTGTTATTAAACACGACAACGGTGGGTTGCTAATAAACATGGCGGTGCTCTAATATTTAACGCAAGGTAAAGTTGTGGTCGATGCAGCCCTCAACCCGACGAAACCCGGTTTCCTAGTAACAGACTTGGCTTTCAGGAATGCCGGTCGGACTGTAAAAAACGGCTTCTGCAAGCCACCTAGGTGCACTTGTGTTCAAGTTGCTCCCTCTATGATTGCCATATTCCAAATGGAGATCTGTCCTATGTATTTGGACTACGACGGATCTACTCCAGTCCGTAAGGCAGTCTCTTGCTCCCAATCTTTCACTAATAACTTTTACATCGTCTACTAAAGCGGGTTCCCTAATTTGGATAGGGCTTGAAGAATTATATCTTTACTTGCGGCTTTATGCAATTTCAAAAGTCTGGTTTCACGTTCGACTTCTGCCCTTGAGGGTAGATCCAAGGAGATTGCTCAGTGCAAATGGTGCTCAATGCCCGAAAAAGAAGACGCTAACTTTTTGTCATATTGTCTTGCAAAGTGTTCGCCCCAAAGCTTCAGGCGTATTGATAAGGTATGAATTAGCTGTTCACACACGTCATGTATCGTCTCGTTAACACCAGGTGCGCTGCTACCAGGTTCTCATATCAGACGGAATAACTTACGATGATTACTAACGGCAGCGGCCGCGTTCTTCTCCGAGGCAAGATGTGAGGACCAGACTTTGCAGTCTCTTTTCAGGCTAGCGCGCACTTTTGCCTTGAGAGTTTTACGAGACTTATGATATTCCTTCGCAGCCGGAATATGTCGGCCACAGTCCATAACTTTTAGACACTGTATAGAAACCCATTGACTAGTTTGACAATTTAATTTGCCACATAAAAAATATACGTGCTGATGGCAACATTTGGCAAATATGCATTTAGTGATCTTCGATGGTGTTCAGTGGACGCAAACTAAAAGCTAATGCTAGTGTACTTTAGCTGATTTACTTTAGTTTATGTAATTGATAAAAGTAAAATACCTAAATTAATTCATCAGGTAGCTCATTTTTCCTAAAGTGTTCCAAACTTCATTCCTGAGACAAAAGCAGGAAAATGGCTAGCGAAGGTTTTCGCATGTTACTGTATATCCGGCGTTCATTAAAAGTGTAATATCTCATATGTTTTCGAAATTTTCTACAGCTTTTTTGCGGCTCTACTCAACATATTGCTTCTAAGCCTATATACGCTGCCAAGTTCAGACCAAAATTGATAGCAAAAGGGTGTTACACATCGGAAGTAAACTAGCCGAGGGCTTATAAAGGTAAACATGTCTTAAATATCTAGTGAAGTTGATGATAAATTCAAACCATCACTATAAGCTTAGGGAATAACTTATTTTAACATGCTGCATTTAAAATGGATAGGTGTGGCTGTGTTTTGTGTGGTTATTTATTATTGTTACATTGCTGTTCAACGCGGGCATACTATTAAACTAAGCAAAAGTGCAATTTAGCCAGGTTTCGAGCATAACACCAAGTTATCGCAACAGATCGTCAAGAGCTGGAACTCATTTTTACAACTGCTGTCAGGAAAACTACTATTAAGACTTTGTGTATCAATAGACACTAATGTGTGGCAACATTTACTGACTTCCGTCTTCGCAATTAGAGTTGCTTACATGCAACTTTCTGCATGACATAAGGATATTCATTGCTCTAACTGCTTTTCTATTATATACCACTGAAATCCCATGCTTTGTCTTGCTTTTTTTAATAACTGGCACCTTTGTTGTGCGTCAATAAAAATAAGCTGCAGTTATTTTACTAGGAAGTAATACGATTGTTTCTTATTTGTTCCTTCCAAGAGCTTCTATATGCTCCCAACAAACATTCATAGCAACCTGCTACTGCTTCAGTCTTAACTAACCATGAAATTAAAGCACTCGTGATATTACTGTTTACAATAGAATTCGCTAATGCAGGGAATCATTTTGATGCAAAGTTACGATAATTGTAAGCCATGTTTTAAAATATGAATGGCCAGAAAAAATAAGTTAACACTAATATAAAACATTGGCAAGGTGGCTAATTGTAAAACTTTTCTAATGCGGAACAACTACGTATTATCTGTAACTTTATGGGAATGCTTAGGTAAAGAGAGACTTGTATGCCTCATATATCTTAGAAGTGCATAAATATACATAAAAAGCATTTAACAGTCATAGAAACATTGGCTTCCATAATATTAACAACACTAATTTTCAATTTGCAGCGTCCATGAGGGAATTTGCTAAAAATAAAGGTGTAATTAGCCTGTTAATGGAAACTTTACATCTACTTTGTTAACGGCAACAAAAAACTTCATTTTAGATAGCAAAACTCATTAATGTACATGCTCACAACAGCAAAATCTTTTATCTAGCGCCGGCAACTGCGAAGAATATAATCAGCAGAATTAGAAAATTCTATGGATTTAGTATTAATTTTATATTGCACATGATTACCGATGCTGTTATTTTGGTAAGACTATTGAAAGACTTTGCATAAATAGGAAAAACATAACCTAAGGTACCATCTCATGTACATACCAAGGACCGTAGCGCAAGAGCAAAACCGCAACTAGGTAAGAGGTTTATAAATGCCTCATCCAAATAGTATGAGTTATCGCGCAGGAGCAATAGCTAATATAAACAAGATATTAATTTGCAGTAGTGTATAAGATTACATCCAAATATAATATGCGCACAAGCGACCTAAACTTAAACAAAGCTTTTAATGCTCACACAATGTAATTTCATATCCCTGTGATCACTTCAAATCTAAATATTTAATGGAGGTCTGCATAATTTTATTACCATTTATCATGCAAAGTGGCATCGACAGGTGTATTAAATGTTATAACGTGACAAAAATAATTTTATTCTATGTTATCAAAAAGCATTCCATGGCCTGTCTAGACAACTATGCGTCACTGGCAAGCCTATAATTTTCCCTGGTCAACCAAGATTTTATAAGTTGAATGCACTGAATGGTAGTAAGCAGATGTGATAACCCTAGTCAGCTTCAAAGCTTTCTGGTTAGCGTGTGGATGGTGCGTGTCCTTCAAATGTATACTGTCATAGGGGCGAGTACCATGTCACGAGCAACTGCAAGACCATGACACATGTCTCTTTACAACACCGTGACTCAAGTTCAAGTTCAAGTTCAAGCGGGACTGGCACGATAGGATGATGCTGTGAGTGTTCCTTCTTCGGCGGTTCGTTGAACCAGGGGTTGGCGAACTTTGAACTACTGAAGGACCTGAAACAAAGACCGCATCACACCCTGTCCAACCAATTAATGCCCACGTATCCTGCCCTAGCAGTCCCTGTTGGGCCGGTTACGTGAAGTAAGAAAGAGAGAAAAGTAATCTCAGAAGGCAAAAAAGAAAGTGGAACGAGCTAAGCAAGTGGAATACCAAGATATATGAGTCATTTAAAAATGAACTGAAAAGTGATGGTGAGTCAGCTAGGAAAAAGGAAACGTCTGCTGTTGCCACCCAAGAGCATCGTGCTGGCGCGCAAAACCCATACCACGTGACCTGGAAGCGAGGTTCAGCCATCTATAACTCGGCGCGACAGACGAGTTTCCGTCCTGACCCTATCAGATTGTGGTTTATGCAGTTTCAGTGGGTGACCGTGGAGGTTAGTTAACGTGGCAGGACTCAATATCCCAGACAAGTCCGGGCCCATCTGAGACTAAGACGGAGACTGTATTTAAGAGCAAGTAGGAAGGTTTCTGTACAACTCTATCGAATTACGAAAAATCCAAATTTACTTGTGAATTATCAGCAGTTGTGTCTGGTCCGTTATTCGTTTATCCTTGTTCGGTTAGAAATTTATACTAATGTCATTATTTCCGGGCATACAATGCCTTCATTTGACACTGTATGTGCATCGTTTCACAAAAGCACATGTTTCCAAAATAATCGTCGATACGGTTTTTAAAACACTTCACAGAATCGGCCTCTATTAGTCCTTCAGATAGTGTATTCCATAAATTTACGATTCTTCGTTCGATACAAAGCTGGTGTGATACTTTGTTCATGCTGGGGACCCTGAGTTTGTAACGATGTCCTCGGGTGTTACATGGTTCCCGCAGGTGAAATATTGGCCGCAGTATGGAAAAGTGATTCAAGTGTAGGACCCGATGGGTCATAATAAGGTCAATTCTTACTCGGCGATAGGATAGTGCGTAGAGTCCGAGCATTTCACAACGTTTTTCATACGGAAGCTTTCGTAGGGTTGGTATCTGCTAGTTGCGATATGCTGTATTTTCTCCAGCTTTTCAGTTTCCCATTGGGTTATCGGATGGTAAGCTGGGGCACCGTATTCTCGGATTGGTCTAATACGATAAGTGCGAATCAGGTCCCCTCTGATCCCTCGGTAGTGCATGGAGTACATACCAAAACGGCGCAAGCGTTCAGGATACGTCTGTCCCCTAGACACTTCACTAGCCGAGTGCTTAATCGTAACACCCACTCCAAGTCAATTTTGTCTCCGTTAAGATATGGTGGACAAGCCTGAATACAATATTCCAGGTGGGGTCGGACGAATGTCGAGAATAGCTTCGCAAACAAATTGGCCGTTAAGATTCCGAAAGATAGGCGGATAAACCACATCATAGGAAACCGTCGATAAGCAGCCTTCTTCTATTTGCCGCCGGAATGAATTGCTGATGCGTGTATGACTCCTAAATCAACCTGCTAAGTGACAACAGGGAGTTCACCACCACCGACAACATATCGGGTGGGAGGAATAGCAGCTGGGATCCGGCGAACAGAGCACTTGGCACTATTTATAGGCTTCAACCATAGGGTAGAACATTCCCAGAGCATATCCAAGGCATGCTGAATTGTCTCAGGACCCCTGGGATATCCACAATATTTCAGAGCTTAAGGTCGTCAGCAAACATTAGGGATGACACCCCTAACTCTCCCGGAAAGTCGTTTACATAGATCGCGAACAATAATGGCCCCAATACCGAGCCCTGCCGAACGCCACTAAGGACAGCTTGCCTGAGCGAAAGGCAACGCCCCAACCGTACGCATTGTTCCCTCCCCTGAAGGAAGGCAGACACCCATTGAAGGGCGCGACCACATATCCCGTAAGATCTCAACTTTAGTGAGAGGCAAAGATGTGGAGAAGTGTCAACAGCTTTCGAAAAATCTACGAATAGCACATCTACAGCGTGTCCACTGTCTACCGCTTCGGCCCAGCTTTCACGAGCTACAAGTAGATTAGTCTGGCATGAAAATCCTTTGCGGAATCCATGTTGTGCAACACTGAGAAGGTTGAATCTATTCAGGTGGTTCTCCACTGAATCCCTTATCAGGTTTTCAAACAACTTGACTACTATGCTTGTCAAACTGACAGGCCGATAGTTCGCAGGTAGAGTGCTGTCACCGCCCTTAAAAATCGGGCAGATAATTGCCTCCTTCTATTCCGAAGGTAGGATGCAGCTGTCCAGCGATATTGAAAACACACATGTTAGAGGACCACTCAGCTCAATCGCAAATTCATGCAACAGATTCGGATGAATTGAATCAGGACCGGAAGCTTTAGAGGGCTTGATGCCTTACAGTATCTCGAAGACCTGAGTCTCTGTTACGCTAAATTCATCGAAGCAAGATTCCTCTGAAACACTTGAAACAAATTCAACCTGCGGTAAAAAGGTCTCCCGAGCAATGACCTCGGTATACTGATCACTAAGTATACAAGCCTTTTCATTGTCGGTTTGCGCACGGGTCCCGTCTGCTCGCAGTAACGCTGGTATAGAGAGTTTTGCACCGCTGCGCCTTTTAATGTGCGCAAAAGACTTATTGGGATTAGCTGCGGCCGAGTCCGGTAAACCCTGCTCGTACTGTAGACGAGCAGTTCTGCGATGTTGCTTACATTTATTTCTAATCTCTCGATAACTATCATACGTACTGGCTGATGGAGCTGCTTGGTAGGTCCGCCAGCATCTAGCCCGTTTCTTGAGTGGGTATTTGCCTGTGGTATCTATCCATGGGGGCTGTGTCCTTAACACTCTTTTCCTAATGAGTGGAATGTAGGGAGTGGATACCTCCTTAAGGTATGCCTTAACTTTATCCCAGGTTAACTTGGCAGAGTCAGTCATCGAGCTCGCACAGTTCAGAAACGAAGCCTTAGTTCACATTGCACTAAAGTCCGCCCGCCAAACATTCAAAAGTAATTCAACAGCGGTCTTTTGGTGCCTTGAAAGAGGACATCGAAAGGATATGCATACGTGATCGCTGTACCCTAGTGGTGCACCGTATGAAACGTCAGTCACGAAGTCCAGGGACTTAACGAAAACCAAATATAAAGTGGATGGTATTTGGTTGTCCATAAACCTAGTGGGGAATTCCACGAACTGGTGCAAAGGCGCTTGGAGAGTCAGTTGAAGAATGTCTGCACCGAATGTTCCTAATGCCGAATTACAATAAAGATCGGCCCAACAGACTTCCGGGAGGTTGAAATCCCCTTGAATTAAACACTTATTGGCAGACCGAGTGCGAATATAGTCAAGTATCCCCCTGAAAGAACCACCAGGACTTCTGTATATCACTACAACTGTAACCTGGGTAGAGGAAGTGCACAAAACAGCCGATAAGGCTTCAACCGTCTGATTCGAAGACTGGAATGTGAAGGTTCTCAACCCATCTAAGTTACAGCTCACATGCAGTACAACGCCTCCGCCTTGGCGACCAACGGAGCGATCAGTTCTAAGCAGCGCGTAACCAGGTAAACATACCTCACCGTCCGTGATATCCGGAGACAACCACGTTTGAGTTACTGCAAGTACGTCGGGACGAGATTTGTCTACAAGTAGACCTAACTCGTGCACCTTGCTCCTTAGGCTACGCACGTTGTTAAGTACTATCTCAAGGAAGCCGGCACGAAAAACCCCTGGGTCGTGCGCCATCAGGATGGGTGCTGATAGGACGGGAAATAACTTCCGGCTGACCACATGAAAACCCACTCGCTGAATTTCACGCGCACAAGTTCAAGTGGGACCGGAAGAGTAGGAAAATCCCGCGAATTTTCCACCTTGGAAAATGCTGTTGAACCAACAGGGAAACCGGTGCCTTGCTGTGCCAAGGCGAGCCAAATCAGCACACTATGCACATGGTCAACTGAACAATGCCCACGTGCCCTGCACTAGCAGTCCCCGCTGTGCCGGCCACGTGAGTTTTAGAATTTAGAAAAGAGGAACAATGTCAGCCACATCACCACCAGTTCAGCACCAGGCTAGGTAAGTCAGTGCGAACTGGTATTCCTCAGGGAACCGGAGCAGCCGCAGTAGGATAGCTTGGCCATGGTGTTTCGCGTAGGTGCCTATCTAAGTGCCGTTTGAAAGGTTACTCAGTCGTCGCGTCAACAACGATTGCCGGAAGGCGGTTCCAATCATTCCCAACCCGTATGGAAAGGGCCACAGCGGTGCCAAATTTGCGCCTCCTTGTTTTGAATAGTTTCCCATAGTGAACACTTGTAGAGCCAACTAGGTTGAGATGAAAATGTACTGTAGCTTGGTTCCAAGGTCTCATCTAAGTACGCGCCTCATAAAGATAGGGTTGCAGTGTTCCGGAACACACGCTCTTGCAGGATCTTTCAGCC